ATTACAGGACCCTACAGAGCTAAGGAAGTACAGTCTTTGGTGTTTGGGTGAAAATTTCTGTAGATATCTGTTAGGCTCATTAATTAATAACATCTATTAGCTTCACCTCTTTAGTTTTATTTTTTTTCCTAGATGGCCTTTCCATTGGTGAGAATGGGGTGTCAATAATGCTTTGTGTGTGTCTGTGGAAGAATTTGGGTCACTTAAAGATGAGTTTTTGCTTTGTAAAGCAGCAAGAGAATCAGATTTTGGTGAACTGACTGCTGTTATACAATTGATACACAATTTAACCTCTTTAGCAAGTCAATTTCTGCATACCAAGACCTCTTATCTGGAGTTGTTTGAGGGAAGCATCATCTGCCCAAGCAATTCTCAGCAATGAGACATCTGGGTCACCCAAGTCCTCTCATAATCAAATTTTGCAAAGGCTCTATATCCTTCAGGAAGAGCTCAGATAAGAATCAAACATTTCACACAATGTGTAGCAATCACAAAAGGTAGTTCAAAGCCTAGGAGCATGTTTTCTGGAATTCAAGCCTGAGGCAATGACCTGAATCTCTCCCTATAGTGGGGATAATGAAGTTTCCCACTATTTATGTATAGGGTTTGATACGTGGTTTAAACTTGGTAATGTTTTTTGTTTGTTTGGGGTTTTGTGGTTGTTTTGATTTCTAAATGTGTATTGTATACCTTTACATTTGAGGCAAAGATGTTCAGAATTGAGATGTCATGTTGATAGAGGTTTGTTTCCATTGATGAAAATGAAGTGTCTTCCCCATTTCTTTTTATTAATTTTGGATGGAAGTCTATTTTGTTAGATATTAGAATGGCTACACTATTTACTTCTTGGAGCTCATTGCCTGGAAAAACTTTTACAAATCTTTACTCTGAGGTAATGTCTGTCTTTGATGTTAATGTGAGTTTCTTGTATGCAGCAGAAGAATGGGTTATGTTTTGTATCCAATCTGTTAGCTTGTGAGGTTTTATTGGGGAATGGAGTTTATTGATATTGAGAGATATTAAAAACAAATCAATGTTAATTCCTTTTATTTTGTTCTCCTGAGTGTACTTAGCCACCCTGAAATGATGTTTTCCTTCTACTGCCTTCTGTAGGACTGGAGCTCTACATGAATACTGTTTAACTTTGACTTTGTCATAGAATAGCTTATTTTCTCCATCTATGTGATGAAAAGTCTGGTTGTATATAGTATTGTGGTCTCACATCTGTGGCCTCTTAGAAACTGGCAGATATCTTTCTATTGATGATTACACAGTGGAGTCAGAAATAAGTTGATAAACAGTAGTTTACAGGGGAAATGTACTCATACTAGGAAGCCAGTGACCAGGTTTGCATAGGAGAAGGACAGACCCTGAAATGCTTCCTCTTCAGCTCAGCCAGGAAAAAGAGAGCCAGGTGAGCACCTCTCTCCTTTTTACACCCATGTTACCTAACACTGACCACGCCCAACCAAGTGGGCATAGTCAGCTGTACCTCTAATCAGATTTCTCCATACATCTGTCCACACCCATTTGACTTTTCGACTCTCCATTGAGAAGTCAGATATAATTCTAATAGGTCTACCCTCATATGTTAGTAGGCCATTTCCCTTCCATATTTTAATATTCTTTCTTAGTTCCATATGTTTATTATTTTGATAATTACTTAGCAGCAGAACTTTCTCTTTTTGTACATACCAATCCCATTTAACCTTTCCCTCCCATCGTCCCATTCCCCCCACCATATCCCCATTTCACCCCCAATTGTGTTCTTAAGCTGGCCTCTGCTCATCTGGGTTTGTGGTAACTATAGTTTTAGGTGTTGATTTCCGAGTTTATTTTTGTTGGATGGATGCCTTTTCCTTTTGTTTCTGATTCCTCTCTTGTCATTTGGCCTGAGCTGCCTGTGGTTCTTGTGACTTCTAAGTACTTTAGTCCAATAGGGAACCTTTGTCAGTCTGTATGACCTCCAGGGTTTGGGGTACAAGGGTTAACTCTAAGGTTCTGAGGTTCTTGGTAATGGTAAGGGCTAAGGTAGATCTGGGGATTTCTTGAGATATGGGTACCAAATTATACTCTGAGGTTCCAGGTGTCTGCATGGTTTCTGGTAGACCAGGGTTCTTCTTCCAGAGTTGTGAACTAGGATATGGTAACAAGGAGAGGGAGGGATGTTGGGGGAAAGCTGGATAGGCTCTGAGGAGTGTTGGCAGGCTTTGGGCTGGTCTTCCTTGGGGTGCCTGCCACTGGCATTGCCTCTGGAAGAGCAGTGGTCTTCTCTGGAGTTATAGGCTGAGTTATGGATAATGCTACCATCTTTATGATGAGTAATATTTTCTGTCAGCTATTATAACCAGAACAACAGTGGAAATACAACTTTAGCAGTGTTTATTGAAAGGTTTACCTGAGAAGATAGAACACCCTTGATCTACTGAATGTGAAAAGGAACATTCCATCTTGACCAAGCCATGAATTAGAAAAAGAAACAAAAACAAAAACAAAGACACAACATTGAGATTTAACCTTAACCCAGTTGAAATAAATTCAAGAATACCAAAGGTACCAACTATGGAGAAGATGTGGGGAAAAGGTAACACTCACTCACCATTAATGAAATTACAAACTGGTGCAGCAACATTGAGTATATATGATGAATTATAAATAGATAAGTAAGTAAATAAATAATTTTCCATTTGACCCTGCAATACCACTTACTGAACAAAGGTCTTGATACTCTGAACCACAGATTCCTTTTCAGTCATGTTCACTGCAGCTCTATTCACAATAGCTACCAAATAGAAATTACTTTCAACTGATGAATTGATAATGAAAATATATTACAGTAGAATTCTGTTTATCTGTAAAAAATACTTAAAATTGGCATATAAATAGATGGAACAAGAAAATATTGAGTGAGGCAACTCTGAACTAGAAAAACAAATACCACATGCTCTCTCTTACTGGGGATATCTAAATCCAAATATGTGGTAGGAGTATATAAACCTGAGTTGTTGCAGAAACCAGAAAAACAAAACAAAAAAAAAGAATGAGGGAGTGGTCACTTACTCTAGAGAGAAGAAAAACAGAGAACAGATGCTATGAATAGGCAAATAGAAAAATCTTAGGAGTGTTTTATTTAGGGAAGTGTGGAGAAAGCAGTGTAAAAGAGAAATAATAAAGATTGATAAATACAAATTAGGGTTTTCTGCAAGAGCCATGGAGAATCATATTATTTTATGTTTACCTGAAATACACACACACACACACACACACACACACACACACACACACACACACACACACGTGAGTGAACACAACACATATGCACCAACAGCCCTCCCAAAACATTATATGCTATTGCTGTTGTCCTTAGTTTCTTCACAGAAATTAGTTAAGTCTCCACTGCTGAAGACATACAGTATTCTGACACAGGATTTAGACTTGAATGAATAGAGCTGAAGAACCCTACTCTGTGAGGACTAGCTTTCTTAGTATGGAAAATATTATATACCTCCCAAGGTGCCAAGGGACAAAAACAGTTAATAGTTCTACCCAGTTGTGACACCTAAGAATCACAATAATGACCAGCAAATCAAGCTATCCTTAAAAGGACAATAGGGTCAGTTGCATCATAACAATAATTAGTATCTATAGAATTATACTGACTGTCCACTCAATAGAATAAACTTCATGCCTGGTTCTATAAACACAGTCAACTCTGACCAATGATGAGCCCATGGAACATAGAGGAGAGTCCAATAGTGGCCCTCTCCTAAACTAGTATAATCTCTAACCACATACTTAGTACTGATCATCTTCCCCACAGATAAGTGTAGCTTTTCTTACAGCAAATGGACACCATTACAGAAATCCATAACTGGTCTAAACTGATGATGGGTTGAAGAACCACAGTTAATCCATCTTCAATACAATACAATCAGTCTACCTAAGACTCAGGAATATTTGGAAGAAAAAGAAAGAATGTTCTGAGAATCAGGGGGTAAGGAAGGTTGTGGTGAGATTGTTTCTTCTGTGTATGACAGGAAAATGGCACCATGGTTCTGAACAATATAGGGTGCTTAATAAGAGCCAAAAAATAATAGCAGTTGGCACACTGATGTGGAAGAGTAAAATCTCAGGGGACTCAACCCATAGATGAAGAGGTATAGTCAATTAATGAAAGTTAAGAGGGCTGGAGAGATGGCTCAGGGGTTAAGAGCACTGACTGTTCTTCCAGAGGTCCTGAGTTCTGTTCCCAACAACCCCAGAGTGGCTCACAGCCATCTGTAATGGGATCTGGTGCCCTATTCTGGCATGCACTGTATACATGATAAATAAATAAATCTTTGCCAGGCATTGGTGGTTTACGCCTTTAATCCCAGCACTCAGGAGGCAGAGACAGACAGATCTCTGGGAGTTTGAGACCAGCCTGGTCTACAGAGCAAGTTCTAGAACACTTCCAAAGCAATACAGAGAAACCCTGTCTCAAAAAAACCAAAAAAGAAGATAATTGGGTTAGAATGATATTATATATATTTCAAATATACATTAATTAAAGTAAAGGAGGACATTAATTTGACAGAGAGCAGGGGGAAGATGGGAGTAATTAGAGGGAGAAGAGGAAATGATGTAATTACACGAATTACATAATAAATTCCCCTAAATGAATTAAAAATAAATACAAACTTTTAGATTTGTTGGAATTCAGAATGAAGTTTAATATTTTTAAAACTGATATTAATAAAAAATGACAAAATATATATGAGCTATCCATTATGTGTATGGATTCATATCACTGTAACTATTGGTTTACATTTTTTTATTCTATGAAACAAAAGTGATAATGTACACATCAAAAATTGAATTTAAAATTTATACTTCTATAATTTATCAAAGTATCATAGCAAATGAGTGTTCTTACAAGTAAAATAAAATAAAATAAATACAGTAAATTCAAACTATGTATTTGTGGGTTACTTTTCTAATAATTCTCACATTACTCCTGATTATATGAATGTTTTTCTTTGACATATTTTCCTCCGGGCAGTACTGACATCCTTATTCCTCAGGCTGTAGATCAAGGGGTTCAGCATGGGAACCACAGTAGTATAAAACACAGATGACACTTTTCCTTGGTCCATTGAATTCACTGATGATGGCTGCAAGTACATGAACGCAGCAGAACTTCTTTTTTTTTTTTTTGCCTGCCAGATACCCTTTTTATCTTGGCTTTTGTCCACAGTTTCAGCCAATAAGATGTCATCATTTCAACATAAAATCTTTCAAAGCAAAGTGATCAAAATCCTCATTGAAATTCAATAGTTGCTCATCATTTCAATGTCAAAATCCTGCAAAAATATTAATTTGAGAACACATTACAACCAAACAAGGGTTACTTCTTCCACTAACAAATCTGTAGATCAATGAAAATTGATAGGTTAATTTCCAATTCTTAGATGTAAGAAAAGGGACCTAGCCTTCTATTTCCTTACATTTCACTTGCAGAAAGTAGAATCTATCTGTTAATAAGAACATGTAATATTTGTCTATATGATCTTGAGTTACCTCATAATTTATTTTAGTTCCATTCATTGTCTCACAAAGTAGAAAGTTGATTTTTCTTTACTTATAACTAAGAAACTCTTTGTATATCTTCTACTTTTTGTTAAATATGTATATGAGATTGGATATAAATATGAGTAAAGTTCTGTTAACTGGAAAAGGCACTATGAAATTGAAAATGAGAGACATTCAGGAATAGAGATGGAGAAGCCTATTGAATGGAGGAGATATTAAAGTACAATTGCAGAATACCTGAGAGAGGAGAGAATAAGGGGACTAGAGGTGTGTATCTGTTCATGCATGTGTGTGTGTGTGTGTGTGTGTGTGTGTATCTGAGAGATAGATAGATAGATAGATAGATAGATAGATAGATAGATAGATAGATAGATAGAGAGAGAATTTCTCTGAATGACATTATTATTCTTTATCATGTACACAAGTTCCACATATAAATTATTTATGCCTTAAAATACTTTTGCTCTCTATATAATTACCTAAATGGATCAGTTAAAGGAATAAATATGTATAAACTAATTCATTAAAATAAATAAATACATTTTATTATTATTTTAAAACTTATTTTTAAATATTAAGAATGCATTTCCTTTATAATTCTATTACTCTGTTGAAGTTTCCATAATTTTTATGATTCAAAACAATGTCCCAAATTTCAGATATGGAAGGGGGATTAATGAGGAAAAGTGTCAGATAGGTAACTGCATGTTTTTTGCTTTACATCAAGTTTTCTTATCTTGAAGTATGTCCTAGTTTTTATTATATTTATTGAATGCACTTGAAAATATAAAATATTGCATTGCAATGAATTTCTTAATACAACCTTAGATAAAGTTATTTTTATTTTCTTTTTAATTTGATCATTGAGAATTTCCTACAATGTGTTTTGAGCATAGACAACTCCTCTCTGACATCATCAAAAGTATAGCTCCTTTTGTGTCTTTGTTTTCATCCATAATGCTCAGTTTCTGCTGCCCATGTATTGTGAGATGTGTGGACTTCCACAATAATATGGTTGACTTACCAGGGACACTGTTCTTAAAGAAAATCAGTCTCCCTCTCTCCACAGTCTTGACTTGATATTGGCTGCTCAGGAAGCAGGGAAACTTCATACCCAACTCCCCTCTCCTTGAAGAAATTTTGTCTGAATTAAGCCTGCACAGAACTTACATATTATATCGCAATCACTGTGACTTCATATGTGCAGATATCCTATTGTATCTGGAGGACAGTGTTCCTTTATATTCATCCTTCAGCTTGGGTTAATGGCTTTCCTCCGTTCCAGTTGATGGTCAGTGATGTGTGATCAGTCCCTAAAAAAAATTGCAAACTCTACTCAATGCTATTGTTTATGCTCTGCAGCTCAATGAAAAGACCTTGTTAATAAAGGCACCCTGCATTTGGTCACAGAGCATAGAGATATGAGGATGGTTTGGGAAGTTACTATGAACACTACTGGAGAAGAAAAGTACTCAACAAACTTAACTAGCTGTGAACCATGTGAACTAAATAACATCTGGGCTGGCAGGACATTCTCATTGGTGTAAGGTGGTATGAATGTGATGGAAGTACTGAAACATTTTCTGCTCCACAAGATGAGATAGATACTTTACACTATTATCAGACCAATGACCTGTTGCTTTCTAAACTTTATAAAAGTATTAGCAGAGCATCTTAAAGATTAGAATGACCCCCCAAATAATACACTGTCTATTACACAGCATCACATGCATATTTTGGTTGTTTATTTTTTAATTTTTTAAAACATATTACATATCCACAATGTTTTTTGGATGCTGTTCTAACACATTTTGAGTAAAGAACAGTAATCTCTGCACTAAAAATTCTTATTATATTTTTTACATTAATTTTTTAAACTTGAGTCACACCATTTCACACTAAGCAATGAATTATTTTCTATTTGTTGTTACACTGTTTGAAGCTACTTGTATGATATTTGTGCATCATCACAAGCTTAATATTTGCTAGTCTTTTCATGCCAAACATTTACTCTGTATTTCTATTTTAGTATTATGTATGTTTATATTAAACATATTTCAATTGAATTCTGTTTAAAATTAAATATGAATGATATACAATACAAACAAGTTAGCACCAAATATCTAGAAGTCAATCTAATGAAAACATCAACAAACATGTATATACTGGATATTTTTAGTAGTCCTGAGAGAACTTGAAGAAAATTTCAATAAGAAAAGAACTCACCCTAGATATATTTTTAATATTCAATACAGTAAAGAAATCAAGCCTCACAGATATTTGGAGACACTAATAAACCAATTAGTGGATTTTACATATGAAATAAGAGAATTTCTGACACAAGTGGAGTATTTAAAGCAACTTTGATATTTCGGAATTTGCAGGAAAAATCAGTATATTCTGATGTTAAAAGTATGCATCTTAAAACGTTATTTATAATGGAATCTGATATCTCTGGATGTAATTAATGCTCAGTACAAAATTTTCTTCTTGCATCTCTCTATATTTAACATACAGATACACTATTGGCAAGTACCTAGTTCTCTTTTAGATGTTATACTTATTGTTATTACTGTGTTTGCCTGTAAGATTTGTGTGTGCACTGGTGTATGCCATGGAATGCATGTAAAGAAAGAGAAGAAACTTGGAGAACCTGTTTTATTTTTCTAACATGAAAATTCTGAGGATAGATTTGAGGTCATCAGAATTGCATGGCATGTGCATTTATACCCTTTGTCATCTTGTCTGCCCAGTAAGTACCTTAATTTCTAAGACAGCATTGTACATAGCTATTTTTCAATCAGATATAAAACACAAAGGAATATGAAGTATGTATTGATTCATTTATTTTCCAATACTGTTATCCATTAAACTTACCTAAGATGATCACAGGACTAACAAAAGTTTAACAATGAAAAATGTAAACATGTTTATGAAGAACAGCAAAATTTATTGTATTATCTGCTTATAGTCTTAGCCTTATCCCCAAGAGAAAATGAAATCTATGGAGAACAACTTCAGTCTAATTTCTAGCTCATCTCAAGGTCATCTCTACAACTGTAAATAATTTGTTTCTATTCAATTGACTATTGACTATTAATATTTTTATCACTTTCCACATTCTATATTCAATTGCACTAAATGAGCCCATGTCATTACCTCCTCTTTTATTATTGTATTTGCAAGTTATGTTATATTGTTGATAAACTGGTAGCTTATACAACCATTAAAATTTTCACAAATCTATTTTTTCATCTCTTAAAATTTATTGAATACATAGTTCTTAGTCCTATGCCAAACATCATGAACATAAATATCTTCAGGTATCATGTACATCTGAACTGCCTAAAAAATAAGAATAACAATGAAAGAGTATAAAAATCAAAATAGTTGTGCATTTTGATTTGATTTGATTTAATTTGTGATTAAATTAATTTAAATCAGTTTAATGCCATGCTTCAAAGAGAGTTTTGGGCCATCTTTCTGTCCAATCTATCTTTTCCTTTGTTCTGTTCAGCACAAACAAAAGACCCAGAGACTGATATTGGGGTTCAAACTTTAAGCTGAATATCAGAAAAGTAAAGCACCTGGCCACTAGCTTCTTACCTCTACCTTAGACTGAAAGGGCTGATACTGTCTCCAAAAGCTTTCACCAAGCCTCAGACTATAAACTCTCCTCAGCATAGCTGGAGAATGAATGCCTCCTACTTAATACTGAAGACCCTGCTTCTGTCAATTATACCCCTCTAGTACCGGGGTAAAGGCATGTGATCTGTTACTCTTTTAGAATGGTTCAATGTCTTGTAGTCCTGCATGGCCTTGAACTCAAAGAAATCAGTTTACCTCTTAATGCTGAGTTTTAGGATTAAAGGTTTGTATCAGCACCTCCTTGATTCTGGCTGCATGGATTAAAGGTGTGTGTCTGGCTTCTATGACTTGTGACTAACTTTGCTATTTTTGAAGTTAATATAATGCTAAGTTGACATTCCCAAAAGCTTCTTCAGCTCTAGAGTTAGCAACAGTCTCACCTTTTACAGTAACCTAAGTGGTTCTTCCTGCTACACTCTGAAGGTGTACCCAGAACTCATATATGCTAGCTCTAAATAGCATGATAAGGCACTCTCCAAGGATTTCTAGCTCTCAGGGAGAAAACTCTTAAAAGGAAGCAAATGCCATTTCACATCTGATTAATCTTTTATCTGTCATCCAAATACTCAATATTTGTGCTAAATATTTATTTAGACATGTTATCTGAAAAAAAACCAATATTTTGACCAATGATATCTAAGTAAAATTTAAGATTTTAGATTTCTTATCTGCTATAAGATAGTGTTGTTGGTTCCAGAACACAGTATAGTCAGCTGGTCTTGGAAATTCAGAAGACCTTTTGATGTTTACATCTTAGTGAAAAATGGCTAGAGAATTTAAAATAAAAAGACAATTTCCTTTTTACAAACAGTTTGAATTATATCATATATAACTCTGTAATTTGTATATTTAAGAACTTAAGCCTCATATATCAAAGTATGTGGCATTTCCTTGCTCAAAATGGTTTCGGCCTAGGCCCTATTCCAAAAGATATAGCAGACTTGGAAAACCCTCTATGGAAGGTCTCACCCTCCCTGGGGAGCAGAAAGGGTATGGGATAGGTAGGATGTTAGTTGGGGGGTGGGCAGGAGAGGAAGGGAGGGAGAGAGAATTGGAATTGACATGTAAAACAATCTTGTTTCTAATTCAAATAAAAAATTTAAAAAAGTATGTGGGATTATGGGCATGCATCAATGTAAGAAGAACCTTTAAATATTTGTCTGTGTATGTGTATGCATGTAATGAAGTTATGTGTACATATGTTTGAATAAGCATGAGAAGGGCAAACACCAACACTGGAGTTGTTCCCATAGGCTGTCCACTTTCTCTGGTGGAAAGTTTCTCACTGGTCTGCAATCAGCAGTTAGCTAGTCTGGACGACTAGATTGCCTGAGCAATCTTCGTGTCTCTATCTCCAGTGCTGTGCTCGTAATTGCCAGTCAACGTCTCTACTTTTGAAAATTGATTTTTGAGATCAACTTAGTTCCTTTCCTTGTAAAGCAAGTACTTTAGACAATGAATTAATTTTCCAGACCTAATTCTAAATGACCTTTTTAATATCTTGAATTTATGATTGTGGAATTGTGTAATTTAATTTTTATCTACTAGTTGATCTAGATATTGTTTCTAAAACCAAATTAAAAAAGCAATACACTTACTTTGTCATTAGACTCTTAAAGTTGTCTTCAGGTGGTTATTTGATACATATCTAAAGTGACCTGGAAAGAGGGAACCTCAAAAGTGCAGACTAGCATCTGGTCGTGTGTGTGAAGCTTTTTCTTAACATCTAATTTGATAAAACCATGGAAAACACATTTAGAGTAAACCATGGTATTCTTCCTTTAAATAATACAAAGCCTTAATTGAACAGGAGAAATCAAGAGCATCCCATATTTAGTGGTCTCCTTATCTGCACCCCATTTTTTCACTCAAAGTTGATCATAATTTTGTGAATGGGACTTATCATTAGTTATAAAACAATTTTCCAATTTGCTCTTTTCTCCATGTGAATAATGATACAAATCAATGCTACAGTGAAATAATATAATATCTGATTCTGAAACTTGGAGTGTTAAGAAAGAAAAATGCCACAAGTCTATATTAAAAGGAAATATGAACCAGACCAAGGACTTTGCAATGAACACTTGCAAATAAATATATATGGACAAAAGGGTTTCTGTGTGAATCTCTATATCACACTATATCTTCCATGATGAGGTTTTTCTCCCTTTTTTTTCTTTTCTTTTTTCTCTTTAATTTTTTTTCTGGAATAGGAAGGCTACAAGGACAGAGGGTGGATATACACAGGAACAGGACATAAATGGGATTGAGATGTATGATGTGAAGGACACAATAAAATAGTAAAAAGAAAGTTAAAAATAAAGGGCTGGAGAGATGGCTAGGTGGTTAAGAGGACTGGATGTTCTCCCAGAGGACACAGGTACAATTCCTCAATTCCCAGCACCCACAAGACAGCTCACAATAGTCTGCAACTCCAATATCTGACACTCTCACACAGACATACATGCAGGCAAAACATCAATGCACATAAAATAAAAATAAATAAATTATTTAAAAAGAAAGAATGTTAAAAAGAAAAGACATGAATAAAATAATTACAGGGAACTGAGTAGATACACAATTGTGTGAAGAATCTTGCACAGATAACTGTAAAATTGCATTGTTCATCCATTACTCTTTACCATTGCAATCTAATTTAAGATAGTGTAAATAACTTGTGGGTGGCACTGTGATAGAACTAGTCCTTACCTTGTATATACATTAATATAATGCTGCATACATTTCAAAAGTCAGAAGAACACAATATTCCTATTGCACAACTAATTTCATTTCAATTGCTTAAGATACAGAATTTGGAAAAGTATATTTGAAACATTTGCCAATTGGTCAGGAAGGCCATCTACACAACATTGAACAAAGGAATTTTGAAGAAATTTATCCATTCTGAGCTTAATATTAGTGACAAGTGAGGCTTGCCTGAACAGAGCTGGGTTCATGTATATAAATATACCCAAACACAAAAACAATTTCAGAATTTTCTGCAGGTGTTATAGTATGCTATCTTGAATGAAATATGGTTGTACAAGAGAGTAGCACTTCTCCAAAGATACAGAGGTGAGAATCCACTTTCACATTTTTGGTACATTTCTTCCAAACAATCACTAACAATAGTCCCATTTCTAGTATTAAAATCCCTGCTTGTAGAAAATATCATCCTACATTATCCAGAAATTATGCTCTATTACTAACAAAAACTATTGAGTGGAAACCTATCTTTTGTAATAAATGTTTAAAGGCAACTTTAACATCTTTATTTCTCAGGCAGCAGATCATGGGATTCAATTTAGCTACAAAAATGGTTTAAAACAAAGATGACAATTTACTTTCCTACAGGCTGTTGACTGAAGATGGCTGAAGTTACATGAAAGCAGTAGAACCAAAGAAGGCAGAAACAGTCAAAATGTGGGAGTTGCAGGTGCTGGATCTACCCACAGAGGATTGAATGTGAAGGATGCTGACAATGATGAAGATGTAAGAACAAAGGATGTTCATACCTGGTAAAACAATTTTAAATACACAGGACAGTTCTAGTAAATCATTTGCAAAATACTACAGCAATAGAGCTTCAGTAATGGGGAAATATCAAAGAAGTAAAAGGTTTCTTATATAGCCTTATAGAAAAGCAATCTTATTGGGAAGACAGTGTGAGCAGTGGCACTTAGCCCATATCATATACCCCAGCTGCCATCCATAAATGTATTTGAGGGGATATGATTACAGTAAAGTATTACTGTAGCCACATAGCAATCATATGCTGTTGCAGCCAACAGGTGACATTCTGCAACAACAAAAGCAAAGAAGTAGAACTTAGCAATGCATTTGGTGTAGGAGATGACATTCTTCCCAGTCACAAAGTTCACCAGCATTTTGGGAGTAATGACAGTGGGCTGACAGCAGTTAATAAAGGACAGACTGCTGAGTAAATAATACATGGGTGTGTGCCGCTGAGAACTAAACAGAATCAAGATGATCATGCCCAGGTTTCCTACAACTGTAACCAAATAGATTCCTAGGAAGATGAAGAATAGGGGCAACTGGAGCTCTTGGTTCTCACTTAACCCAGCAAGGATGAACTCTGTCAATGTGGTTTGATTTACTTCTTCTTTGTTCTTCTGGAAACTTTATGTAAGAAGTTTTCACATAAAAGAAAAATGTGACTATCCATTCTCCTATCACTCAATTTTTAAACAGAATTCAAATATTTTCAGTTGTTTCCAATCCTCTGTCATCCTATTTTCTATCTCAACAGTCAAATATTTTGTAGTACTGGCAAAGGGGGATATGAAAGAAACAATCATACACATGATGACATACTTGTAAAGTTATCATTAAAATTATGTGTACTGGTACCCATTTCATACCTCATGCAAACTAGTCTAGCTCTCCTTATTGTGTGTTTCAAATAGTTATCATGTTGTTAATAACACCTTTATTTTTGTATAAAATATTTTACATGTAGTAAAGTAAAAACATTATACACAAGAGATCCATAATCAAACTCTAGTTAATGAGAACAAATTGAATATCTTACATTAAAAGAATAAACAAAAGAATTATCTACCTCTTCTCTTTAATCTAGATACATTCTGGTAGAGAAATCATCCAAAAAAATGAACCTAAAAGCTAGTAGTTTAGAAATATAGGAGATAAAATATCTCTAATTTATAAATATAATTGAACATACAGAAAATCCAGAATTGGCTAAGAGAATTATTAAATGTAGTTGATAGTATATAAATGTAATATTAGTAAACAGAAATCAGAATATTATTGTCAAAATATTAAGAAAATAACTATGAAAACAAATGAGATAGCTTGCACTTATTTGCTGGACCCTTGTTTTTCTTTGACTCAGCAGATATTATTGCCAATCTTTCACAAAGGAGAGCTGTCCTCATTCTGGGTAAATTATAAATCATAAGGTAACACCTCATAGTAAGTACATGATACCAGTTTCTTATATAGTAACACCAGACTTCTTAGTTTTCAAACTATAATAACTTCAAGAAGATCACATTTCTACATTAAGTTCCCCTCTATTATACAAGCTGAGAAAAATGTTTTGTGACATAATGTGTCTTCAAAATGGGAGTGTTGGAAAAATAACTTTCAATGTAGCATACTGAAGAAGCTGAACCATTATAGGGAGCATAGATCATGTGAAAAAGTGATTAATGCTGTTACGAGAGCAGGATTGTGGCCACAGGTGTAGGATCCTAAGGGGCTGATTTTGGTCCTTTGTATCTTATTTTAATTTTTTAATTTAAATTCTTTAATTACCCACCTCCTTCCTCTTCACCCACACACCAAACTCCCACTTTGTTCAGGGGTTCTTGTCCTCATCCCCTTCTTTGAGGGATTATGCAATCTTCTCTTGGGGTCCTCCTTGTTTCCTAGCTCCTCTGGCAGTGTGGATTGTACACTGGTAATCATTTGCTCTATGTATAAAAATCATATATGAGTGAGTACATACCATGTTTATCTATTTGTGACTGGGTTACCTCACTCAGGATGGTTTCTGCCATTTGCCTCCAAATTTCAAGATTCCATTGTTTTTTTTTTTTTTCTGCTGAGTAGTACTCCATTGTGTAAATGTACCACATTTTCTGTATCCATTCTTCAGTTGAGGGGCATCTAGGTTGCTACCAGGTTCTGGCTATTACAAATAATGCTGCGATGAACATAGTTGAACAAATGTTCTTATTGTATGTGCATTCTTTGGGTATATGCCCAAGAGAGGAATTGCTGGATCTTGAGTTAGGCTGATTCCCACTTTACTGAGTAGACCCCATACTGATTTCCAAAGTGGTTGTACAAGTTTGCACTCCAACCAGCAATTGAGGAATGTTCCTATTTCTCCACATCCTCTTCAGCATAGACTGTCATTGGTGTTATTGATTTTAACCATTCTGACATGAGTAAGATGGTATCTCAGAGAGGTTTTTAGCTGCATTTCCCTGATGGATAAGGATGTTGAGCACTTTTTCAAGTGTCTTTCAGCCATTTTAGATTACTCTGTTGAGAATTATCTATTTGGTTCTGCACTCCACTTTTTACTTGCATTGTTTGGAGTTTTGGTGGCTAGCTTCTTGAGTTCATTGTATATTTTGGTGATCAGCCCTCTGTCAGATATAGGGTTGGTGAAGACCTTTTCCCATTCTGTGGGCTGGTGTTTTGTCTTGCTGACTGTGTCCTTTGCCTTACAGAAGCTTCTCAGTTTCCGGAGTTCCCATTTATTAATTGTTGATCTCAGTGTTTGTGCTACTGGTTTTAGGTTCAGAAAGCGATCTCCTGTACCAATTTGTTCGAGGGAACCACCTACCTTCTCTTCTAAGAGTGTGTGGATGAATTTATGTTGAGGTCTTTGATCCATTTGGACTTAAGTTTTGTGCATGGCAATTGATATGGATCTATCTGCAATCTTCTACATGTCTGAATCCAGTTATGCCAATACAATTTGTGGAAGATGCTTTCTTATTTTCCATTGTATAACTTTACCTTCTTTCTCAAAAATCAGGTGTTGTTAGGTGTGTGGGTTAATATCAGGGTTTTCAACTCTATTGGTTGATTGATATGGGTCTATTGATTCCATTGACCAATTTTTGTGCCTGTCTATTTTTGTGCCAATATCAAGCTGTTTTCAGGACTATGGCTCTATAATAGAGCTTGAAGTCAGGGATGGTGATGCCTCCGGAATTTCTTTTATTGTACAAAGTTGCTTTGGCTATCTTGGATTTTTTGTTTTTCCATGTGAATTTGAGTACTGTGATTTCAAGTTCTGTGAAGAATTCTGTTGGGTTTTTTATGGAAATTGCATTGAATATGTAGATTTCTTTTGACAAGATTGCCATTTTAACTATGTTGATCCCAACTATCCAAGAGCAGGGGAGATCTTTCAATTTTCTGGTGTATTTTTTAATTTCTTTCTTTAGAGACTCAAAGTTCTTACTATAAAGGTGTTTCTCATTTTTGGTTAGTGTTACCACAAGACATTTTATGTTGTTAGTTGCTATTGTAAAGGGTCATGTTTCTCTGACTTCTTCATCAGTGCATTTATCTTCTGTGTATAGTAGGGCTACTGATTTTTTTTTAGTTAATCTTGTATCCTGCCACTTTTCTGAAGGTGTTTATCAGCTGTAGTAGTTCTCTGGTAGAGTTTTTCAGGTGACTTATGTAAACTATCATATCATCTGCAAATAGTGAAATTTTGACTTCTTCCTTTCCAATTTGTATCCCCTTGATCTCCATTTGTTGTCTTACTGCTCTAGCTAGAACTTTAAGTACAATATTGAAGAGATATGGAGAGCATGGATGCCTGGTCTTGTTCCAAATTTTAGAGGAATTGCCTTGAGTTTCTCTCCATTTAATTTGATGTTGGCTGTTAGTTTGCTGTATATTAGATTTATCATTTTTAGATATGTTCCTGTTATTCCTGATCTCTCCAAGACCTTTACCGTAAAGGGATGTTGGATTTTGTCAAAGGCTTTTTCAGCATCTAGTGAGATGATCATGTGTTTTTTCTTTTTCAGTTTGTTTATATGGTGATTACATTGATGGATTTTCATATGTTGGACCATCCCTGCATTCCTGGAATAAAGCCAACTTGTTCATGGTGGATGATTTCTCTGATGTGTTTTTGGAATCTATTTGCCAGTATTTTGTTGAATATTTTTGCATTGATATTCATGAGGGATATTGGTCTGTAATTCTCTTTTTCGTTGTGTCTTTGTGTGGCTTGGGTACCGAGGTAATTGTATCCCCATAGTCCTGTGTATCTTTTTCTTTTCTTTCATTCTTTTTTTTTGAAATCTTTTTCCTTCAGTCTTCTGCTATATCATCATGTAAGAAAACAGACTGCTCTTGATAGGGGCTTTGTTCTTGACCTTCTCTGTCTTCAGAAAGTTATGAAAAGATAAATACAGTTCTAATCACTATATATTATCATTCTTTGCTGTTCTGTTACACCAACAAAGACAGGCCAAGTCACACGACCTTCTATATATCTGAGTCTTTTAATTGGCTAATTTTATTGTGCTTCTTGTCCCTTGCAAACTGCCCTAGGAAATAATAGCCTCTATCACAGATCTCCACAGTAGATTATGGTAGATTTAACAATGTTTATTGTGTTGATATATTATTTATGATTTATTAAAGCTTGACTGGGGATTTGTAAGAAAATTCAGCCATAAGCTATCCCAGACTCAGGAAACAGACAGATGGATCTCCCTGAGTTCAAGGCTACCACAAGAGTAAAGAGTAACAGAGCTTAGGCCTTTGATCAAGCACTTGGGATCACAGCCCTTAATCTCTGAAGTCAGGAGGTATAAATATCAAAGGGTCTCATGTGGACAATTATTCTCCAGGCATGCTGAAGAAAGGCAGCAGTCTGAAGCTTGGTGAGAGCTTGTGGAGACAGGATCAGTCCTTTTAGCCTGAGGTAAAGATGAGCTAGTGACTTGGCTGCTTTGATTTTCTGATCTCCAGCTTGAAGCTTGAAGCTTGAACCCCAATATCTGTCTCTTTTTTATTATTTGTGCCACAGTTTGTAGACTTTGATCCATTTTATTCAACTCACTTTCCATGCATCCCAGTTCTACCAGGCACAATTAATTCCATTGGCTTCTATTCAGGTATGCTTGTGCCATGTTAATGATTGAATGCCCTTGTCCTTGGTGAAGAATTCCTCAATATCGGCTTTGCATAAGTGGCTTTAATGTTCCCATTGTTGGATGCATCTTACATATTAATTAAAATAAGAAAAAGAAGAACAATGTTTAATGACAAATATTTTATTTTCAGTAAATTGAGTAACGAAAAACCAAATATATTTACTATATATGTTTTCACTGTCTTGGACTTCGTAAATGTTCATCTCACCAGAAAAACTAACAATACAACTGATGTGTTTATCACCTCCCCAAGTTTCCTTGTAGCAATTTGTGTCCCCGGCTTGTCTGTAATTTTGGTAAGGCTTTTTGATATAGTATTTAGTGCCAAATAGTTTCAATTACACAATGTCATACTTTAAACTTTCAGCATGTTACTACATAGAATATCCTTATGGATATATTAAAATATAGAACTGCTTCACCTGAAATACTTGAGACTATGAACTCTTT